CGCAACCTTTCCAGTCAGTTAAACAGCAATAAATTCATCTTTCCTTAACCTCTCATGCAGTTCGTTGTTCACTAAGAACCCCATATTATTATACTTTCATATATATGCATTTGTTCGCTTCGATTGTATTCGAGCTGTTTATAATGCATGTGTATAGAAACATTTGCTACTATACAAATTATTACTGAAAAGAATTCGTCTGATTGATGTGATTTTTGAAGAACTTTATTTGATTTTACCCGACAACTTTCGTTCGAAGTTTTAATTAGTGCTATTGTTAGTGATTGGTATTATTATTTGAATGGTAGAATTATTAAATTGTCGCGATTGATCATCTTCGATGTACAATAAAACGTATCCACGAATGATTGTTTTACGAGCGCATGTGAACGAGATATCCTTAGAGATTGTGAATTATCTCGCAGATAAAACGAAGTTGTATAGTTGCAAGAATATTGGACAAGTCAACAAACAAACACACAATGATAAGCGTGCTCATCGTCCTTATCATAACTGCTGCACACTCACAATCAGTGAACGCTCTAGCATGCGACAGGTGCATGAATGAGCCGGGTGCATTCAATATATCTTCTATTGATAATCATTCAATTACTGAAATCGAACCAACAACAAGCGAAGATTTGCTGTGTTCGAGCAATATTTTACGCTCGGCTATTCTAAAGGTATCTCTTTACAACAGTTATGATCCATCAAACAGAACGATTGAATAATCATTGCAAATTCTTAATTTTGCTTTGAATTTTTTTCAAATGTTATTGAACACAGAAATTCTGCTTTTAATGAACACTTTGAGTAGACATTTTTCGGAAACATTCTAAATGAAGACAGAATTATGATGAGAATGAAGTTTCTTATAATAGACATAACTTCATGAAACGAAACAAGTATTAGTTACATAGACACTTAGGTTGAGTACAGGTTAAAAAACTGAGACTGTCGTCGTTTTTAAGAATGGTCGCAGTGAAGCGACTATCAGTTTCTATCAAAACTATAAGATACAAAGAGCATTTTTATCGCTATGAATTTTGTTTTATAGAAACTATCGCTTAAGTTCCAATAAAAACAAAATTCTATTCGGTGACAGTTAAATTTCTAAGATAATGATAATGATATTATGATAGCACCGTGGTATGGATATCGCGGATACTGTTCGAAAGGTTTATGAAGCATTGAAAGAGATTGATAACATGGCAAAAGCGACTGTAGTGTGTACACCGTCGGATCGACTTGTCTTCAAAATTCAGTCGAATCGTTTCTGTACAGCCGGTTCTTCAGAACTGACGTGTTTCATATCGCTCGTTTGATTTGATTTAATCGCATTTGCATTCATCACTATTGTGCCTGATGTTTTCATTCATATTATACCATATTTTGTCATTCAACTCGAAAGACTCGTAATCGATGCGCTTCGTTCAGATATCTTCCCGTGGCAGAGTAAAGATGAGCAAAAACACCCCATAATCGCTATGAGAATTCGGCAACGAATGAGCAGAAATTATCCCAGAAAAAGAAGGCTGTTTCGTGCAGAGTAAATCGTTGATCTTATCGATCAGTACTTGTGCAAATCTGAGCACCCGTTTGCATCCTACAAACCTTTTCGTGAGAATTTTTGGAACATTTTCACGTCATTCATTATTAAGAATTCCACTGATCAATGGGTTGAACATTCAAAGTGTCAGTTAGATACTGTCAGTGAACGATTTGAATGGCCAACCATTTAACCCATCAACAAGAATTTATTGAGTGACTGGTTTAATTGTAAGTAAAGAATTTTGAATGCGTATCACTCGTCATTGTATAAGAAATTGCTGATTGATAATGATACTGTTCTTCAATGAGGAACTTTGGAATAACTGATGCCGAGGAAATGTATGCAATGAAAAGATGACTTTATTTAAAAAGTTATAGATTTGCTGGTTTTTCGAGAGTGATGGATCTGTTTAAAGAATTATTGAATTATTTGAAGAAAAGAGATATTTATGAGCCAACAAGGAGATACGATCTTGGTGGACATGAGCAGTAGAGTGCATCTTCTCCCACTTCTCCATCTGCGCCACGAACACCATTATCACCTTAATTCAAAAATCATCTTATAATCATAATATTAACACACATTTTGATCATTCATTAGAAATTCAGTTGCAAATATATGTATAGTTAGTACAAACCCGGTATTCCAGGATCACCACGCTTCCCTAGTGGTCCAATAGGTCCACGAGGACCGTGTTTACCAACTGATCCTTGTAAACCTGATGGCCCACGTCGTCCGACTGGCCCAGGACGGCCTGAAGGTCCTTTCAGAAAACGGTTGCCAGCACCAAGTATGAAAGATCGACCTGGTGGTCCTCGGGGTCCAACGAGGCCTGGATACCCTTCAAGAAATGAGCGGTTAGCTGATGTGATAGAATGAAAATATGTTACGAACAGGCAGAGTGTGCTGGATGGATGTTACGTTTTTGCATATTTTACAAATGAGATTGATTATTCATGTCAGCCATATCCATTTACTCACAACCCTATCAACAAAGAGAACTGAACCAGGTATGCCTGGGTCACCGACTGCTCCGTGTGCACCCGGTAGACCAGGTCTACCAGCTCTCGAAAATATCAGTCGACCCGGTGCACCATCGGGTCCCCGAGGACCAGCTGCCCCTTGAGGCCCTTGAGGTCCAGGAAGGCCACGAGGACATTTGATGCATCCTAGATGTGGTAATGGCTGCTCACAGTTAAAGACGGAGTGTGAAGGAATTGCATCCAAGCCGTGAGCTCCGGGAATGCCAGGCTCTAAAAGCATGAACAATAAACTATCAAATTCAGATACATATTTGCAAAACAATGTCTGTTTTCAGAAGAAGCAGATTCAGGATTCCAAAAGCAATTTTTCGATCCGAAGTGATTTTATTTAATACGGTTTAATGTCACCAATCTCATCATTCACACAAATATGTTCAAATGCTCATTATGAATATTTCTTCAATCACGCAAATTTCTGCGTTGTATAGTACTGTACGATACAGTGCGATCACTGAACATTTCAACGATCGGAAAAAATATTTCCGCTTTCATTCTTGGAATTGCATTTTGAGTCGACGAATGCAATGAAGTATGAGGTGATTTGTGGAAAAAAGAGAAGATACCTCCGTTGTGACCTGGATCGCCGGGTGGACCACGTAGACCCTGTGGGCAGGAGGGTATTGACTCACAATGACACCATTCAGGAAGAATGATAGGTCGAGAGCTGACGGAAAGTTGACGTTTGAATCGATCGAATAACAGTTGAGGTGTATTTAGTGATGAAGACGTAGATGATACGAGACGATAGCTCTTTTGTTGGATCAACATGAGTTCTTTCCACGCTTCATCCGTGCTTAGCTATTCAATTAAGATCAATAATGCTCGATAGGTACATAGACAGATGCTTAGAATCATGTGAATGCATAGAGAGATAAACGATTCCAATTGATATTCATGATCAAATCATCAAACTTATTGGACTGGCACTATCACACTTATTTAAGAAGATTCTTCTTCTTATCATATACAGCTTCACTAGATACTTATTATTATTGTGAAAATTATCCAATAAGAACAATGTGATTGAATAATCAAATAGAGAAACGGCTAAAAATCATGTTTCCACTGTTGCGCGGTAAAGTTGACGAGATACTATGATTTCATATTCTGCGAGAGAAATAGTTTATGTCTTGAATCTGCATGAGAAAGTTTGGTTTGTTTGAAGCACTCGAACTTTAGAGCGATTTAAAAGTTCATAATTCAAAATTTGATGTAATTTATCATTCAAATTCAATGATATACATTATAATATGACGAAAGTGAGTATGAAATAAATTAAACGAGAATGATATAGGGTTTAGTTGAATATGGAAACGAAAAGATATGCACCCACCTTGAAAGACTGGACGTTTTGAATTACCTCAACACTCAACTCGTTTATTTCAATAAAAAGTGATGGAATGACGAGCACACAACCGAGAATGGCCAAAGAGCAGAGAACGATCGCCGTCGCAACAATTATTTTCTCAAGCTTCATCTCAACTTTTCAATATCTTCTGAATACTGATCAAAGCTCAGATATTGCTCGTTCCATAGATAATGACAAGATTATAATCATCCACAGCATTTTACACGTATGTCTCATTAATGATACCAATACTCTTTTAGAGTTCAACAATTTTTCATTTCCGATAATTCTAAAGGAAAACTCTAAAGCCATTAATATTGGTAAATTGATCAGAAACTTAATCCCAAAACATAACTAATAAATTGGAATAACATAATTTCATGTGATTCCAACTCAGCAAATCCAGCATTCTACCGAACTGCAAAAGAATCGAAATAATTGTGACGATATCGACAGGGTATTGTTGTAATGGAATGAACTCAGACTGAGGCTGAAAACGCGAATCCAAGTCTATTTGTTCCTCCAATACCTCAGGTCCTGTACGCTTCAGACCCAGCACAACAGAACCATCTAGTTACTTAGCAAATACCTGAATCCCCGTATCTGCGACAACTAAAACCTAAGCCTAAATGTAATCCATCGCCTCTCTGTATTGCCACCTCTGTATGGAGTTACAATAGCAGATTGAAGAAACGATCGCACAGTTGAGCGCAGTTCTATTTGTCAATGTATTTATTTTGTGATGCGTTTTATATAATGTAATGATCGGTATTTGATGCGTGTTCTGAGTGAATGAATTCCATGAATGAATAATAAATGAGGCAAAACGATCAACGCAAAAACGATCAATTCGAATCAAATTTATTTTCATGTGATTTCAACTCGTTTTTAATACATAACAACAACAGTAACATTTGATACGCTGCTCATTCATAATTCAACACTTTCTATTAAGTAGTTTCAGCTCCATATGAACACTTATCTGGACAAAACCAGATCAGAATTACAGTCAGTGCCCTACAGTAGCATTTGTGATACAGGTGTGAAATTTGAATAGAATTCGATTATTGGATCAAGAATTGAATGGTTACATCTGATTGAATCACACTTGAGCATAAAAGTACAAATTGAATATGATTGAAATACCTGACCAAAAATATCTTTCTTATAGACTAATATAATGCTGAGAAGCAAATGCTTTTTAAAAGGGGAATGTCTGAAATACAGTAAACAGCGATCAAATAGAGTGAATGCGAACACAAAATGGAATCAATAGACTGGAAATGCTTGATCAATGAGTTGAGAATACTCTTGATAACCACCTTTCACATCAACAATTTGATCGCTCGAACAAACATCCTTGAATATATCACGTAACCGTTGAACTGCCAACTGCGAGTCGTTACCACGACGACAAATTACGCATACTTAAATTACATTGTTCACATGATGAAGTCAATCGTTTGAATTCAATGAAAACAACGCTGTTCAAAATCGATTTGATTCAGACTTTATTGAAGACTTCTTTTTGGAACATGTAGATGATATTTACAGTTATATGATCACTATTCATACAAATGACCAACCATTTCTCATTAACATCAATAAGACACCACTGTCTAATTATTTTTTGTCATTATTATCTTTAAAATTTTTCTTTGTTATTATCATTATTAATTTGTTATTATTTTTCACTTATTCAACCTACCCGCATGATGTCAGTGCGCTCCGCCTTTCACGCTGTATTATTGCTTGTACATATTTCTTACTCGGCAATAAAAGTATCTATCTAATGACAAACTTACATCGTCGTTTGCGTAGTTCGTCATCGTCAACACTCAACTGCTTCATCACATCAGAGGCATTCATCTTCTTGAGATCCGTATACGGAATATCTGAAAAATCAAATAGCCGCTAACATAAAATGCCAGGAATGAATGAACAGATAAATGACAATCAAAAAATGCATTAAGCACAAAAACAATTAAATTACTAATGGCATTTGGGAGGTGAGCAATTTGAAACTGATTCTTCGTGCGAACATCGATCAATAATGAAGCTTTACAATCATCATTTAGTTCATTTGCCGTTATCCGTTCTTCATTCACCAAAACACTGATTCGTGGTGTCTTAATTCGTAGTGATTAGTATCATATCAATATCAGTACTGATTATTATGGAGTTGTCATTCATTCTTTCATCTTTATATTATATTATTTGTTACAAATATTAGTAGCTGAACATCTTGCAACAGCACTGAACTAATAACTCAAACAAGTCAATTCGGTCACTTTGCAACAATCGAATAATCAACTGAACTGAACTAAAAAATGCCACTGAATATAAAGAATGGCTAAGCATATATTCTCAGTGACTTCTACCAAAACCAGTAGGAAAATGATGAAAAATGAATCGGAGCTTGATATTTTTCCATCCATAATATAACAGCATCAGATCATATAAACTCGGAACAAATCAAATTAAAAACTGAAACCTTATCATCACAAGTCAACCCTCCACAAAAACGAGTGTAGTCAATCAGCTGCGTAACCGAAGGTGATTTGCCACAAACATCGCAATCGTCTCTTCGTGGACGCAGTTTAATACTTCGAGTGTCACCTCTCAACCCATCGAATATAAATAAACGACCACTGAATGATGCTATAATAGAAGTGACACAATCCACAGTAAACTCTTTGTTGAACACACGTAAAACAAACGTTTTAATTGAGCAGCTATCTTGATCGTTTCCAAAGCTTGCATATTACCAATAACACCAACAACTGGCCCGATCACTCCACTTTCTGAACAATTCGTCGATGCTTCACGAGGAGGCGGTTTTGGGAAGATACATCTGTAGCACGGACATTCCTTCAAATCACAAAAATTTTTAGACTTGATCCCTCGACTAAATTATCAAAATGACGAAAGTTTTTACAAAAGAACGGCAAATAATCCCAGAAATATATTGTTAAGCATTTCAGTAGGATGTAAGTGAAAGTGTATAATGCTACCGAACAATACAAATCAATGAATGAATGAACCTTCGAGTAATTATAAACAGTGAGTTGACCTTCCCATCGAAGTGCACTGCCCCATACCAATGGCTTATTCAACATCACACAAGCATCGTTTATCAGATACCTACAATTCATTGATTCCATCCAACAACATACTTCTTTGATGTACGATTAGTAAAGAAATACTGTACAAATGCATTTTAATCGAGGCTAAATGATGAAGCTTTTCGTGTGACGAAAGATTATTGCATGGGTGATATTGAGCCGAATAATTGCGAAGGAATACTCGGTATGCACATAACAATGAATCTCAAAATATGGCTTAGTTCGGATAAGATTACGAACCGTGTTGGTGCGTTGTCGGTGCAATCTGCTATAATATCGTACTCCTTGAAGATATCCAATACATTTTCGCTAGTTACATTTACATTATAAACATCAATCCTTACGTTGGAATTCAACCTTAAACACTCATTTACTGCATGATCAAATCAATATATTTTACCTGAAAATTCAAATTCAGTCTTCAATAAAACGTTATATTGTAATATGAGGATAATGCCTAGTGACTATCAGTATGATATAATAATAACGTCCGTTGAAAAGGTACTAATACAAATTCGCTAGTAATTGATTGCACCGTAAAAGTGAAGAGAAAAGAATGACTTCAATAAAGTGTCGCGTAATGAATAAACTTTCGGGGTGTTAATTTTCGATTCACAATGAGCAATCTGACGGTGCAAGTTATCTTCAGATACCGTATCCTTGTCCACTATACCAATACGACCAATTCCTATAAGCAGTTCACTGAGCGGTCGTATCAAATAAGAATCCCTTGCCAAATCAGGCCACATTACAAAAGTAACCTGCCTGCTGCTGCAGTATACAAACCAACTGGACATCCCAAACCACCTGCACCAACAATCAATAATGACGAATCACGAAGATTTTGCTGACCTTCAATTAGATTCGAAAATTAACCATCTGCATTTGTTATTTATTTACTTAATTTTTATTGCATGTAATAACCGTAGAAATTGAAATAATATGATCCGACACTATCTGACAACATAAAAAGACTACATTGATGATATGATTCATTCTATTCATTATTTCAAAATACTTTAATCAACTGCTTCAAATTTATCAGTGCACTGATAAAAGTTTACATCCACATTCTAAACGCTGTATAAATCAAACATTACTCCGGTGAATCTGTGTGAAAATTCAGGTAACGAATGATATCAAATCAAATAAAACAAGAATCAAGAATCATCACTCAAAAACTCACCAACTACGCCTATTTCCTCAACCAAAATTTGTCGACTGTAACGTCGTATTTCTTCAATTGATAGATCATGCGAACATGAGTACGACATCGCTATTGATAGCAATTTAATTTGGAGATTCAACCAAAACTCTTCACCCGCACTTATTCGCACATGTTTTATGCCGTGCTTACAACGGCTCTGGCAACAGTAGCCAAAAAGCAGTTTTGAGGCGACGCGGTTAGGCAGAGCACAGAGAAAAGGAGCTAATGCAAAGTGAATTAATTTTATCCGTGAGGTGCAGGAATTTGACATTTTTCAAGGCTGCATCTGATTTGAACATATGCACGAGGTGAAAGTCTGAAGCGAATTCAATTCTCTGCAATGTGAGAAATTTTCAACAAAAATTAACATTTAGTTTTCGAAATTATAACTCAAAATAAATCCTCATTATGGAAAACACTGTTGCTGCGAGCAGTCGAAGTGGAAAAAGTGTTGGAAAAGAACTTCCATCAGCCTATACCAACTAGTCCACCGTTAAGAAAATTCATTTCTCCACAAACTCGCAGATTCTCAGCAAAAATAAACGTTTAATTTTGAAAATTGTAACGTAAAATGAATTATCACGACAGTTCCGATATTTGTTTCGGAAGTTGTAACTGTAAACGAAATTTCATCGGGTATCATCACCATCAGCCGTATCTAAGCCATGATTCATCGTTTTTTTTTTGCACCACTGTCTACAGCGAACCAATAGCGAAACAAAATATTCAGAACAAACGCGCAGCTGATCCGCAACAAAAAACCAAATGATGGAATCGAATTGAGAAGAAATAAATGGAAATTGACATTTCAAATTCTTTGCAAGCGTAAAATGGTAACATTGATGCATCCAACCGGTAAGTATAAGGTTGCAGAATCCTCATCTGACCGAAGGGCATCAAGAAATCAATGAAGCGATCTAATCGAGATGCCTGAGTTTGGTGTAATCGAATAAGTCCGGAACAAAACTGCTGACGTTCTGATGAACATAAGATGTATCCTCAATATGGAAAATATTGCTGTTGCGAGAGATTGACACGGTGTACCGTAGCAAAGGGGAAGGAGAAATTTGGAGTCATGCTCAACGTGGTCTTCCCGGAAAGAATCGTGGTTTGAGAAAAAAGATATGTTGGGTATTCGGAAGATCATGGTAGATAACTTTGATGGCGGCTGTGGCTATCATGATTACACTATCATGGATGACTGCAACCATATTACCGGCAGAGATATTCAAAATGAAGGTTCATGTTTGCAATGAACTGATTGTGTTAAATGTGGAACGTTATTGATTTCGATTAACAGGAAATATTGAGGTTTCATGCAAACCCATTCCATTAAAATTGAGTGTCACCATTGCCCATTTAGAATGGTTTCGAGCAACTGGTTTGCTATGCGCACGAAGGCAAATTTTGAACGAGGTATTATTTATTAACATGTAGTATAAATATAATAATGCATGAAACAATGAATTTTTCATGCATGAGACCATCATCAGATTCGCTGTACTTTGTTTTCATGGTGCACCATTGCAACTTAGAATACTGTCAAAGTAGTGTTCATTTTGCCATCGAAGCGTTCGCAAAAAGCCGTACTAAACGTAAAACCCAGTACAGGCAACCGTAACGAGGAAGTTAGCCCCGCATCGACCAACGAAGATTGATATCTTCGGACAACCCCATATGAAATCCAATGCAACTCACTGATCCACCACAAATTTCCTAGTATTCCTAAAGCAACTTGCATCTCGTCATAGCCACACTTACGTAACCTCCCTCTCATCTAAATGTTCAAATGTCACATCCCTATGAGCACTACCACTTCAGATGGGGTCGTGAATCTATTTCTGTTACTCCAAGCTGATACCTCTCACTCAGTTTTAGTTATTGATGTGGTTGTCATTCTTCCAGTAAGAAGAACTCCCTTTCCTCGCTGAAAATTCTGATAAACATAAGTATTAGCTTTTTTAATGATAGAATCATGCCACTTTAAGTGCCCACATTTCTGGAGTGCAGTTAATGTGACGGTGTCATGCATGGGAACGTCACTCAATCTTTCACAACTTTATGTGATTCAAAATCAACAAATGGTTGGCGATTTATTTCCGAGTGGACACCAAACCAGTCTATCCATCATGGGTGAATGAAACTTAATCCAATAGATTCCATTTTGTTATGTTTACCATCACAATTGATCCTATTTCATGTTATCTGCTGGTGTGGATCCATCTGTTTTCAACCAATTAGCTTAATGACACGTTACTGTTTAAATCTGAAGCGAAAAGTGTTGTGCTTCAGTTGTTACTGGGACAGTTCCTTATAGTTTCTGCTGAGAAGAAATGGGATAAGACAGATAGACGTAAGAAGAAGAGTGATGAAGCCATTGAACGAGCGATTCCCTACAGAAAAGGAGTGGTAAGAATTTTTCAGTGATAGAATGTTTTTTTTTAACGATTTCATGTATGGGTCAACGTATCATCACTGTGACCAACCCAACTGCATATACCCTTTCCAATGGACTGATTGGCATTGGCTGATGGAATTTCTGTTGCCACACTTCCACTTCAATCGCTCCACTTCAACAGCAGTGTTTTCCATAATGAGATGGATTCATGTTGAGTAACAATTTCGAAAACTAAGCGTTTACTTTTGTTGATAATTTCCCGCTTTGCATAGGATTGAATTTGGGATCAGTTGCGGAGGTTGAGCTGTGCCCATTTCTCCTTTCCTTAAAGTGCTCGCCTTATTTCCACTTTCCTTAAATTCAGTCAATTTAAGAGCATCTGCAAACTATTTTCTTCTCGTTCTCTCGCCTGTCAACGCGTTCAATAATGCTTTTTGGCTTCTGTTCCCCCAACCCTTATAATTACCACTTTGTTTCAGTCAATAAAGCATCATTAGACTGGTTGCATCTAATCATAACCGAAAACGATTGCCTGTTTGATTTCCATTTACAACTTACATTGTTCCATCGCTCATTTGTGGAAATCAAAAAATTCGTCTAAGAGAGTCGAAAGATGCCTCTCCTCCTTCTGATGCTTGCAAAATATCTCATGCACTCAAGAAAAATTAAGAGGGGCGATCCTGCCGTTTACGTCAACAAGAAAAGGATGTAGTCTATAAAACACACAGAACATGCGTCAGTCAAAGCATGCATGAATATATGCGATACAGCTACAGTCTGCATATTAACAATACCTAATTGTTGGTTCTGGATGTTGAGGGGGTTACGGGGATTGTTCCTACCAACTATAATAAAATCAACTTCGTTTGTTCCGGACCTAGCGATAAAAAGCAGTGTGACGGCTGTCTTTTATGAAATTAAATGCAGTTTGTAAACTGTTGGAGAACGTGAACATGCGAATTAATTGTAAGCATCGAACTTAAGTAATTAAGTGCTATCGATGGTGTTCTTACTGTGCTAGGTGGAGTGACCTGAAGTTTCAAAGGCTCACACTAATAGTAAAAAGGAAGAAGGTGAAGTGACGTCCAGTCCCAGCAATTTATCATCCCAGTTTCTATTGCTTTTGTGTGGTTGCGTTCACGAACTACCTCACTCAGTTTTTATTTGATAGAGAGGAAGGAGAGCATGTGCATTCAGATGCGATATCTAAACACCGTCTAAGATCTCAAAATGAAGCCCGGCCCATGGCCGTCTAAGGAGAAATGGAGGATGTTCCTTTCGAAGTTACACGTTTTGTACGAAAGAAAAAACTGAGCAGAATTCAGAGACGACAGCCTATTCTTTGCCTATCACTAATTTTCAAACAATGACATACATTCAAGCTTATTCGGATTTACGCTCACATGCATTTTGTAAATGCTCTATTCATTGTTGTGTTGCTTTTTCTTTTCTATACTGTGCTGAATAACACTTTAAGAATTGTCTTTCCCAAACACTGTTTCCTTTCGAAGAGAACCTATCACCCTACTCGAGACTTACCATTTGTTTCTTTTTTGCCACATCGTCGTGTTTCTCGAAAGAATTTAATTCATTACTGTTTTACTATGCTTAAGATATTTGTGACGATCCTACCATGAAATGTTCCTCAATAAATGATTACTCATTTCAGTTATACTTTGCTGTATGTGGTGTGGTAACACGTAGAAAAACATTTATACAGTCGTCGCGCCAGGCACCATCAATATTTCTTAATTCTAAATTCAAAAAAATCTCAAATTGTTAGTTTACGTCCAGACAAAAACTTCAAACTTCGGCCTGATCCTAGCCAGTGACGTCGAATTGTATCTGGGTGGTTCGTGCGGAGTCCTTACGCAGTTTGCGACTCTGTCTCACTCATAGAACGTCACAACCCATTCCTAGCAATCCTTGCCTTGATTATGCCTAGCGCGACAGCATCAAAAACACGATACTGAACAATCAGAGGATGTAAACGGTGATGAACGCACGAAATAATCACATGAACAACAACATGAAATAATCACGTCGACAAGAATAACAGCAACAGGACAATCAGACAAATATTCAAATAAACACGAGATTTCAGTGACCATATCCAATTAAACAATCCAAAACAGGATAAAATGAACAAATTTTGAAAGAATTTCTTGGAAACGAAACGGAATCAAGCCAGCTGAAATCATTCTGTTTCAACCTAAAATTAGTTTGAGGTCAAGTCAATCTACTGTTAAGTGAAGCTTGACTCAGGTCTTCCCTCCGTCAACACAAGGCATGAAAGCAATGCCACGCACGCCACCTTGCTTCAAACTTCTCAGGTTGTCACCTGCATGCTCGGATTATAAACAATGAAAATATTTCATGATACAACCTAGTAAATGCTAACAGTTCAGAAACACCTTCGTTAGAACTTGTACCCCA